AGAAACTTTCAGAAACAACAACAGGCAAAGACAGAAACACGCCACACAGACGCGCACACACCACACTGACACAGAAACGCGTGCATCTGTGCGCACGAGCGCGCGTGCATGCGTGCGCTCACACACACACACACACACACACACACACACAGACACGCACACTCTGCTGGTATAGAGAGAATTTCATTTGTACTAAGAGTTCCTTCAGAGTGAAACATGTTCGTCTTCTGAAATGTATGTGTTCACTCTGCAAGGTGGAAATGATTTATCTTTGATCAATATTCCTGACATTATATACATTAAATAGGGTATTTACATGGCTACTGTATTAAGGCATTCCCGAGTAAAGAGCCTTGTTCGTAGATATGGTGAATTTTATGGTAATTTGTGCATTTTTAAATGTATTATAATGTACTCTGTCAAATTTTAAGTGAGGAAAGAATTAAAAAGTGGAGGGAGTGCGCACTGGGTTTGCTCATCTCCTTCGGCTTATAGCTCAGAGTCAAAATCGATCGGACAAAACTGCTCTGTATGTCAAAATAAATTGTTTGAAGAATGAAACAACTGTGCAACCTGAGAGCATTAATAATTTCTCCAAATTAAATCTGCCGCTTGTGTCGTAGCGAGGAAAGTCCACCAGAGGGTGGCATTGTATCATTTTGAACAAATGAAGGAGAGAGAGAGTTTCATTCCTCACTTGTTTGTTAATTAATTAATTAATTAATTAATCCGAACGTCCGTCCAGGACAAAGTGTATCTTATTGGAGACAAAGATAGACACAAACACACAAAAACACGGAGACACACATATCAAAGCACACGTCAACATGTTCATCAGCATTGTATCACATTAAAGACAAGAATGACAGACAAAGAGAAAGGGATAAGGGGTTTAACGCTATTTCATTGGATTCACCCCCAAAACAACAGAGACCCCATTGCACAGAGACACAGGTATAGACATACTCGCTCTATCTGTTTTCTTTATTTTCACTCTCTGTCTGTTTTATTTTTTTTCTCTGCCTCTCTTTGCCCTCCCAATATTTGCTCTCAAAATAATGCCCCCAAATGTTTGCCCCTCAAGTCTTGCACGCCAAATCACACCCTTCCAAAATTCTGTTGCCCCTCGAATTTGTGCCGCTCCAAAATTTGTCCAACCCCCAAATTTGCACCTCCGATTTTTTGCTCCCTTTCCAATTTTGACATCCACCCCCAAATTTGTGTTCCCCTAAATATTGAGGCTCTTCCTTCCGCCCCAGTCTGCAAGACTGTGCCGATTTTGTTCTACACTTTGTGAAGATCCCACAGCTGCATCTCTGCTTCATCGTCGGTGATGAAAATTCTGAATGGTCAATCTCTGGGTGTTCTCGCTTTTTGCATATTTTGGACGCCGCACGGCGCAGCTTAACAATGCGATGTCAACCTCATGAAGCTACAAAACAATACTACTTGCATGACAAACAATATGGGCAGCAAGTTATAGTCAGAACTAAGCGATCCACAACCAACGGGTCAAAATTCAAAGAACAGTCCAACACAGGAAAAGGCCCTTCGGCCCACCAAGACCTTATGGACACAATGCGCCTTTCTAAACAAAAAAAAAACCTTTGTTTCTAAGTGGTTGCAGCCCTTTATTCCCTGCCTATTCATAGAACTGTCAAGATATCTCTTAAACCGACATCTCCTCGTAATTGATATTTCTACGTTGGGAAAAAAAAGACTTCGACTCCCCATTTTATCCCTGCCTGTCATCGATTTGTAACGTTCTTTCAGATCGCCCCCTAGCCTCCGACACTCAAATGACAACTTTAACCAAACTCTCATCGTAGCTCATACCCTGCAAACTGGGCAATATCCTATTAAATCATTTCTGTAGATTCTCTAAAGCCTCCAAATTCCTCCAAAAGTGTGTTGACAAGTACAGAACACAATATTCCAAATTCGACCTCTATATATATATATCGATTGATGAAGGCAAGAATACCATATGCCTTCTTGACCAGCTCATCCACTTGTGCTGCCACTTTCAGGGAACTGTGGACCTGTACGCAGAGATCCCTCTGTATTTTAATGTGTCCAAGATATCTTCCATTTCCCGTGTACTTCCTTTCTGCATCAAGCCTTCCAATATACACACACAAACAAAATTGCACTCGCACTCACAGACGCATTTACACAATCACAGATAATTACACCGAGTCTCTCTCTCTCACTCACTGACACTCACACACATTCTCTGTGGCACTGATGAACACAAAGAGGCATTGTACATCATCTCTTACAGAAACATTCCCAGTTCATCCAGATTGTGAAGGTTGGGGGAATATTTTCATTCCATAAATAGCGACAGAGTAGCTAGGACAATTGTTTGACTCAGTAAGTTTAACCAGCCCTTCATAGGGTATGAGAAAAAAAAAATAATTACAAATGGAATTACTTAAAATACTTTTTTGATAAATCATAAGGACGTCGATCCCAATATAAAGTCAATAAATTCATAGAAAAAAATTGTGTACATGATTAATACATATATAAGCATGATATCGATACATTGTTTATTCCCCCCGTTTAACTCATTCCAACACACACGATCAAATAAAAAGAGGAAAGAATACAAATATAGTTATTTCAATACAAATTAAGCGCTGATGAATTACCATCAAGTAAAGCTTATATCGTAAAAAATAAATTCAGCATTTTGGAAAAGATAGTTGAGTCTTCTCGCAAAATTGCCTGCCTCAGTACGTCCTATTTTGAAATACACTCGAACATTTATCTGAAAGGATAGGGAAAGTAGTTTGATTACACTTGAGGTCATGTTATCTATGGCTCTACATACAGCACACGAACCTTTCAATCCCCAGCTGAAGCTCTCACTCCAGGGGTTGGGGATAAAGACTAAGTCTGCCTCTGCAATATCAGACTGAAGTAGGGCCATATTTCAAAACGGATATTGAAGTGTGTCTCTATCTGCGTGCTCAGTTGAATGTAAAGGACAGTGTAGATTCTATGTCGAAGAGTAGCAACGTGATCCCTCCGCCATTATTCTACAATCAATAATTTCACAAAACATATCTGCAGTAATTATCGCCTTCTGATTTGTAGGGGTTTACTGTGTATATACTGGCTGTGCCTTATACTGAACTAAAGCAGAGAGGAGGTTTCCAAAAGTAAATCACTGGCAGTGCATGCTTTTTCAAGCGGAGTTGTACTTGAAAATGCAACATAAAGAAAATTATTTTGTTTCTTTCGCTCTGGTAAAACAATTTCAATGATTTCTGTGATAACATGTTATTTTCCTCATTAATTAGAGAATTCCCATTACAGGTATCCATTGCTTTCACTGCCATACAGGCGCCACTCTTACTGTGATGATTTTCAACATTACATAATGCACAATATATTTCGCCAGAACATCCCATTCTCCCCTCTGCATCAGAAACAATAAACTTATGAGATAAGGTGGCGTTTAGCCATCTGATGTGTTTGTTGTAAAATGTTGCATTGCACTCTCTGTGTTTGTCAATGTTGAAGACACCAGGGTAACGTGAGTTGTCAGAAGGAAATGGATGGATTTTCGGAGGGGGCATCAGAGTTAATTTCTGTAAGACCAGCCATTGCATGTGACGCCCCGGCATGAGATGATTGAAGGTGAGTTGACAGCTGCCCAGGAAGCTGGAAAATGCTGGTGTGATGTTGACGAAGATAATGTGGCCATAACCACGGCTGTATCATAGAATAATTGAACACTACGCTACAGAAGAGTCCCTTCGGCCCATTGAGTCTTTACTGCCAAGTAGATGCTATGACCCAAAACAGTCTCATGTTCCTACATTCCAGACACATACCACTCTCTGGATAATGGATATTTTCCTTACATCCCCTCGAAATTCCTGGCTTTCAGTGTTAACTTAAGATTCCTTGTTATTCACCCTGTATTCAGTTTGATAATAATGAAGAATGGTTATTAAATATATTCACTTACATTTAGAATTTTATTTGTGATTTTGGTAAAGGAAATAAACATACTGCAACATTTGGAAATGTATTGAAGGAATTGAAATTATTATATCTCATTATTTCACTATTTCACTACTATATTTCATATTTGGCAAAGATTTAGCCCGAGAGCTTACATATAATGATATTAAAAAGGGAAATCAGTGATAGGACATTCAAAACAAAGAACGAACTGTGAATGCTGGAAATCCGAAGCAGAAATTGTTACCAAAACTCAGCAGGTCTGTCAGCAACTATGGAGAGAAATCAGAGTTAACATTATTGGACCAGTGACCCTTCTTTTGCGGAGATACAGTAGCTTGGTTGGCAGTGTTGAATATCACCTTTTGGAGGACAGATCTCACAACGGGTGATTAAATGACTCAGAGAAACAACTCAATGGGGTTTAGGAGAGAAACTGTAAAATGATGCAAGCTGATCACCAGGCAAACCAGGAATATTGGAGTAAGTTTCTTCCAATGGCCAGTTGGAAATGTTTAAATGTCAAAGCAGCTGGTCAGATAGTTTGGGTTTTATTGACAAGAACGTCCATGGGTTACTGGCATTTACGATGTTCATGTTGGCGAGAAACATTCCTCCTTGGGAATTGATATGAGTGCAGTTCTTCAGAACAGTTACATCAAAACCAGCTGTCCTTGTACTTTACAAGTCAATTTGCACGGAGCCTGTCTTCCCAGTAAGCACCAAGAGCTACAACATCTAAAACTTGAGGTACCTAAAACCTGGCCTTACATATTTTCGATCTCGCCATTTCGTGATTCATTGAAACCATCGCTTTAGACTTGTAGTCTCACTTGATGGACCATGTCCGTGACGATGTGATACCAGACCTGCAACTTTCTACTTAACTGATGCTGCTAGTGAAACAGCCAGTGATGACAGTGTCGGTCTCAGTCTTGTGAGCCTTGGCATCTTTAAGATTGTACGGCAAAAAGAGTGAAGGACAAAAGTGAGCTGATAGAAAGTGAACACATACACACCTGGAAAACTGTTTGAGTTCACCTCAGGATATTCTGATTCCGGATTATTGTCTCTCAAGTTGCGGCTGCTGACGTATTCAATGCGATTGAGTAACTCAATGGAAGCAGAAATTACTGAAAACAATAATGGTGTGTTATTGTCAAGTTCAATCTCCTAGTTAATCAATAACCCTTCCGAGTGGTAACGAGGCGAAATTTCTTTAACCAGAGGGCAGTGAATCTGTAGAACTCTTTGACACAGAAAGTTGTGGAGGCCAAATCATTCAGTATCTTCAAGAGAGAGATGGAAAGGTTATTGATTGATAAGAGAATAAGAGCTTCCAGTGAGAAACCAGGATAATGTGGTTGAGAAACATGTCAGCCATGATGGAATGGTAGAGCAGATTCGATGGGCCAAAGGACAGCATTGTGCTCCTATATATCGTAGACTTATGGGCTCCGGTTTAATGTTTTATGTTCGTAATTGGGGAGTGAAAACAGAAATCATCATTCTTTCATCGTGTCTGTAGCAATAACTGGAATATTCTCAAAGGAACCTCTTATGTGAAAGCATTCCAAACGGAGATTGTGGTGGTTCAAAGTAAAGTGAAATGCGAAATCACTGCAATGAGAGATGGGAAACGAGCTATAGCTCTCACATCGAACAGACATTTTCATGCACAGTAAATTTAAAAACTTAATCCGTAATCTCTAAAATAAGCTCAGAGTGAAAGAACGTAAGTTGAATGCCTTCAGTTTCCAAGCAACTTCGTTTGTTGTGTCTAGTTCCACTTTAAGTGGCATTATTTCTATGACACAATGCATTTTTCTTGAAACTAATAGATGTCCTTTAAACACATTTGTTTATTGTTATGTGACGTTTCTGAGAATGCTTTCATTTGATGTTCTTTTCCATGGTATTCTGAGCTCGAAATATTAGTCAATCATTTCAATTGTGATCAAGTTATGTTCCTTACTATTTTTATAATAAAGCTTCTTACGTCAAGATCAAGACCTTCAGTTGGTCCCAAAATTCCATTCTCTATCTGTTTTTTCTCATTCCCCATCATCAGGTTCAGGGACCAATCCTCCCCTTTGCGATTCTTCGATCTTGGTAGACTGGAATCATGTCAATATTTTAGATGCATGTCCATGTATCCATTGCTTTCACACTATCATTCAAGTAACATCATATAAGTAAAACATCCCATATTATTCTTTGGCACCAGGAATTAGAACCGGTATTGGCACGATGGCCTGAATGGCTGCTTTTTATTTGCTTTATTCATACCTGGGTTGATGGCGTCGCTGGTTAGCCAGCATTTATTTCCCATCCCTAATTGTCCAGAAGGCAGTTAAGAGTCAACCACATTGCTGTGGATTTGGAGTCACATGCAGGCCAGGCCAAGTAAGGATGGCAGTTTCTATCTCTAAAGGGCACAGTGAACCAGATGGATCGACAATGGATTCAAAGTCATCATTTGACTCTTAATTCCAGATATTTATTGAATTCAAATTCCAACTTCTGCCGTGGCAAGATTCGAACCCTGGTCCCCAGCATGTTATCTTGGTCACCAGATTAACAGTCCAGCGATAATACCACGAGGCCATCGCCTTCCCTTCTGTCTGCTCTGCTTACACTTCTGTGATTGTTCATATGAATTTGCATATTAATTCCTCAATTTCTCTTCCACTATTAGGTGCTGAGTAACCGAATGGTATCGCAAAGATTATGTTTTCTACAATCAATCATTAATTGATTTATTGTTCAGATATCTGAAGGAATCAGAATGGAACCAGGTTGGAATTGGAAAGGGCAGTTCTGCTCGTCCATACAAACAAATGTCAGAAATAATCTTTCAAGAATTAAAAGCAGTGAGAATTATGAAATTGGCATTCTCCCTCTCTCTAAACACAGACAGAGATTCATTCACTATGATAGCTTCCTTCACCCGACAGCAGTGATTTGACAAGTAATCATGTTCAGTTGGTTCACAGATCATTGAAATTGCAGGAAAGCCATACTTGTCCAGAAACGACTCACGATGAAGGAGGAAATATATACCTGGCCCATGTTTCTGATCCATCTTCTTGCCAGAGGGAATATTTTCAATTTCTTCATAAATTCCTTGGTACAAACCAAGAATGGAGCCTCTGCCACCAGTGTAAAGGCCTGTTGAAGAAAGGATAGACTGGTTAGCGTATCTAGCTGAACAATCGCAGCAATGCTGAGTTTATTTCCTGAAGCAACATTAGTGTGAAGTACGTGTAGTTCGTGCAATCCAGGAGAAGAGAATATAAGCACAACATTGACCGATCATTGCAGGCAGCACCATTTTGGAAAGACAAGTGAACCAGCCATGATTAATTGCCATCTCTGATCAGTATGCGAAACTTAATACGTTATACATGATTTTGAGATATTGTTGGTTTAGAAGCATATTGTCAGCTCTGTTCAAATGAGGAATCATCTCCTCCAGATGTAAGTGTTCAGTCAAAAACAATTCTCAGCTCAAAATGTTGCTTTTCAGAAAAATACTGGCTGCAGGTATTGAAACTGCTAAAGCAAGGAACAAAAATAAATATTTTTAATTTAGGGACAATAAAAAGAAAACTCTTGATGACCATGAAGAATTTACAAATCAATGTTCAAGAGGATTAGATAGGGTGGACAGTGGGAGCCTTTTTCCTCGGATGGTGATGGCTCGCACGAGGGGACATAGCTTTAAATTGAGGGGTGATAGATATACACAGATGTCAGAGGTAGGTTCTTTACTCAGAGAGTAGTAAGGGCGTGGAATGCCCTGCCTGCAAAAATAGTAGACTGGCATTTAAATGGTCATTGGATAAACATATGGATAATAATGGAATAGTTTAGGTTAGATGGGCTTCAGATTGGTTTCACAGGTCGGCGCAACATCGAGGGCCGAAGGGCCTGTACTGCGCTGTAATGTTCTATGTTCTATGTTCTATAAAGATCCTAGCCAAAAGAAAACATTCTTAGATAACAACAATTTAGTGAGAAATTGAATATTGTAATTAGACAAATGTGTAATTATTGCAATCAGATCGATACAATAGCGTGAGACAAATGAGATGAAGGGAACATGATTGACATCGATAATCACAATCGAATTTTATACTTTTCATTCTAATATGTAAACTAAACTTAAGGTCATGTAAAAAGTGTCGAAAACTTTCATTATTCATGTTTATCGACACTGCCAATGAGTGGAAAACAGTACCCGTTCAAATGTTTTCAAGCCAATATAAAAAGTGAAGAAGATCTATCTGGCCAACTAAGGGAAACCAGTTGTTGCATGACTGAAAGCTCCGAAAAAAGGTCATTCAATCCTCTCACTGATCTTGAGTTCTGCCATCAGTACCCAGAAACTGAACCACCGTAAAGGAAAACTAACTGATGAATAAATAATTAGAGGCAGAAGGCAAACGTCTCAATGAGTCTTTAAGACATAGTGCTGTAATCAATAATTTGTTCTGGCATGTCATGTGCAAGCTAATTGAAAGATAAGAAAGGTTTAGTCTTCACATTTCTTTCTCTTTGGTAATGATTTGGGACAATACGACATCAAACGTTAGTTCTGTTGCTCTCTACAGGTATTGAGGGACTTGAAGAATACTTCAAACAATGCTGAAGTTCTTTTAACTCCTATTTACAGTTTGAAGTGTTTTATCGTTGTGTCAATTTATATCTGTGGCTTCAATGAGTAAAGCCCCTTGTAGAAAACAAATAGCCAGAAATTGCCTAACACTCATCACCATCAAGCTCAAGTGATGGAGAAGTGCAACAAGAATCTACAGCTCTGACACGATATGGAGCAAGAACAGAGGCAGTGTCAGCTCAGTCGGTAAATGTGGGCTCACCTTTCATTTGTACTTTTCTCTGCATTACCACGAGTGGTGCGATAAAATCACAGATTAACAGGACTCCCAATATTAGGCAGACGACAACAGGTACAGAAATAGTTTGACTTTCCTGCCCTTAAAGAAGGGGTTACAGAGAGATTTAGCTTAGTTGCGGAGTTCCCTTGCATGATTTATAGAATCCATTAATACGAAAACACTGACATTAGCTTCAAATTCGTGAAAATGTCAGCAGCATCTGTGTCACTGGTTAGAAACGTAACGTTCATTCAAATATTAATAATAGTACTAATCATACATACCCGCAGGTGTAGCTGTAGGGGAAGTCGGCAACAACTCTGATCCTGTGGAAGAGATTGCATAAATATTCATTAAGGTGACAGTTATTTCAGGAAGACAAACGCTGACACTAATTTGCGATACCAATGATCACGGATCTTCGCCAGCAACATCGTGCTTACCAGAACAGATCACACTGGCAATTTCCTTGTGATTACATTCCCTTTGAGCTGGTGCTGGGGAGAGACAGTTAGATAGAGAGGATTCACTTCCCTTACACTTCACATCATTCTGACAGATCACACCTTTAGCCTGGGAGACAGCGGGCCCTCCTTGGGCTGATACATCTCAGCTGTCGGCAGACAACACTGGCATCAGTTATATCCCAGGAATCACCATACAACGTGCCCCAGCGTTCATCTCACTTTATCTCCACTCTCCCAGAACAGCTTCTGCTTCCTCCCTCCAGGCGCACGATATGCTGCGAGTCTGTGGCACAGAACAGATTATTATTGAACGCAGGACAAAGCAGAAGTATCGTTTTGACAGTTGGCACTTTCATAACGAGGGCGCACCTGATTGTTGATGGCAGGAATTTGATCTGAGGGGCTGTTCCTTTTTCACATCACTCTCTGTAAAGAGGAGAAACATGCTGACTGTATTGCGAATAAGCGCTTCAAATGGCACCTGAATATTGAGAGGGTTTCACGACTTACCTGAACAAACAACACCGGAATCTTCACTGCGCTCACAGTTGTGTTAACCCCACGGATTTGTCTGACATTGCCACAGGGTCGACACGTGTGACAACCGTTCGATCCCATCAAGCCAAATAGGCCCAGTTCCTGCTCCGAATATCTGACTGTAATAATCAATGAACAGGAGGGCACCGCAGTGCAGCTGTTTACAAATCACTTCAGCATCGTGTCGCTCTAGATTTTTCAAGCATACTGTTCCCCAGGTCCTATTGCAGAACACTTCCACTCTCCCCTCACAAAGATGCTTTCCATTTACCAACCGCATGTCCTTGTGTTCTGTACAGATAATAACAGATATCCAGATTACAATATAGTTTTTTGCCTCCCGTACAAAGCTATGACTGTCTTTTGATGAACAACTCAGGTGTTATAAGTGAATAGAATAAACGATATACCTTACCAAACGATTGGAAGAAGTTAGAGACATATAAAGTCGAAGCAGGGAAGAAGATGCATCGTTCATGCTGTTTCAAAAGACATTCAGCAAGATGCTAGGAGAATCTTGAAAGAAGTTACACAGAGAAGAACCTGACAACGAACAGAAAGTGATCTACTCGAATTCAGATTGATGTCATGGTGGTTTAATATTGGGGTAAACAATTTGGATTTGCCAACCCTAAGACAATTTCAAACATTCTGATTAACAACAAGTTATGGAATATGGTTTCAGTTCAGGAAGATCACGCAAAAGACAAATGCATATTAATAAATGGGCAGTTTCGGTGCCCAACGGATAACAACATTTCAACTCAGCTAAATCTAAGGTGGTGAAATCGGACAGAAAGGACAAGAGGATATAGACTCGTCCTAAACTAAAATTCGATCCGATATACAGCAGCATGGAGATGAGGGATACACGGACAGGAATCACAATTCTAATGGCGGCGTACAAAACTAAAGATCATAAATAACAGTTTCTTATGAGTAAACTGTTCTGTATATTTTGGGGAATATTCACTTCACCCAGCATATTGATAATGGACCACGAACAATGCCTTTAATGCGTAGCTTGGCGTGTATTTGATAAAGTAATATATTCATAGAAGGACTATTTAATGTAGATGAAGTAATATTTCCTATCGTTCAATGCAGCATGGGCATGACATGGAACATTGTTTTCAGTTGCTGCCTCTGCTGTACATACTCCCTAATTCACTATACAGTATGAAGTGCGTATGAAGCTTTGTACACAACATTATTGGAGAATAAAAGAGTGAGAATTGTCTCACATGAGCACATAATTCTCACATCTTCTTTATGAGAACAGTCGCCTTGCTCACCAAGTTGTGCTGAAGGACATTCCCAGGGAAATGAGTCGTTTCCAGAACACTTCACATCTTTCAGCCAAACTGGCCCTGAGCCCGGTCCGTAGGAGGAAGGAAGTGTCATATCCAATATATTTCCACAACCCAGCTGTTTGTAAACCACTTCAGCGTCTCCCAAATCCCAGGAGTCATCACAAACTGATCCCCATGTCCCTTTGTAGTAAATCTCTACTCGGCCAGCACAACGGCTTCCACCATCTGACAGCCTTAACTGGATATGTTCTGTTAGATAATAATACAGATGGTTACGCTTTCAATACCCACTTCCTACTTCTTTCAATCCAGCATGGTGTATCGATTTTCTTGTGAAATGTTATAAATGCCTGAGACAGAAAAGCGGACGGCATTAATATATCAAATCAATTAATTTCACAAGAATACACAGCCAAAAATTGCTTGGAAAAAAAATCTTACTGCATCAATATATAAACACCCTACTTGACCATAGACTGTCATTTTATATAACCTGTAATATTATCATCGTCTGATAAAAATGCTGTCTCATACATCCTTCAACTCGAACATTTATAACTGAAACGTATAGCAGGATAAAACATTGCAACTCATAAACACGAATGATACGACTCCACTCTTCACACGAAGCTGCTCAAAATTATTCTCTTTGAGCTATCCACAAACAAGGTCAAGCCATAGCTGTTAAGCATAAAACAAGGAGAAGTTGAGAGGAAGGGACGTTTCAGAGGGAATTATCGAAATTGTGGTTTTGGCAAATTGTATCACCGGTGCCTGTGTTGGACCAATTAAATTGGAATGGACAAAAGTCCAGACTTACTGCTGCACAATGAGATTTGCGAGCTCAGGATCGACAACTTATTAAGAAAGTGTAAACAATGGATTTGAATGGCCGGATGGCAATGTAATATTAGGTGAATTAACTGGGAAAGAGAAGACCATGACAAGAAACAGGATGTGATATAATGGAACGGGATTGATGTCATGGGGGTTTAAAATTGCGGGAAACAATTTGCATTTGGCAAAACCCAAAAACATTGCAAACATTCCAATTCACAAGAAATTATGGAGTTTGGTTACAGTTCGGGAAGATCGCGCAAACGTCAAGTACACAGTAATAAATGGGTAGTATGGCTGCTCATGGGTGATAATATTTTAATTCAGCTAAGTCTCAGGTGGTAACAATGGTATGAATTCATCAGACACATTTCTTGGGATGGAATGCAAAACAGCGTGAACACTGCAGATGAGTAATCGGAATTATTCCGAGGCAAGTAATGGAGAGAAGAGTTTTGAAAGACCTAAGTTGCCAGAGGTAGCCTGAGGGAAGGCATTGGGAGGGCAATAATTAGCCCAAGCAACAGGATGAGGGTCTCAGCTATATATCAGCTGAATTAAGGTTAAAGTTCAGAAATGTTAAGATGATGCAAATAGATAACAAGGGCACGAAAATCAGTTCCGGTCAAATGTAACAGCCAGGATTATGAACTGTATATTTCAGCTTTCAATAGTTTTCAGGGAGAGAAATTATGCTGCAAAAGTGGAAATAATTATGATGGAAACCAAAGAGAATTTTGTAAGTTCATAGTCACCTGCTTCTACAAACCGTGAAGCCTGACTAGCAATATCACACTTATGAAAGGCTGAAGAGGCAAGAGAGGTAGAGGTGAAATCGTGTTATCTTGAGGGTGAACTTATGATAAATGTAATGCCATAGGTCCACAGGCTGTAAATGATTGGAATGTGTGGTATAAGTGTTTGGACGATTGTGGAGGTGGAAATATCAGAATGGGAACGCAATTTATGATTTAGCTAAAGTCAGCTGGAACTGAATTTATGGAGTCATCGTCACAGAGGGCTTCAACAACAAAAAGGATCTTCAGCTCATCGAGTAGTTTGGGACAAAAACAAACACCTTACTATTCTAATCACAATTCCCAGCACGTGGGTTAGCATTATGTTTCTTGACAGCACAACTGCACATCCAAAACGCTTTACATTTTAAAAGTGTTTCTGCCTCTCTCACTCATATATGCAGTGAGTTCCAGATTCCCATCACCCTCTGGGTGAAAATGAATATCCTCGCCTCCCTCCAAAAACTCGACTCCTAAAGTTAACTACGCCACTTGGCCATCGATAGCTTCACCAAGGGGAAAGGTCATTTGTTGTCTACCCTATCAATGGCTGTCATACTTTTATATATCTCAATCATGGCCGACTCTTGAGTCTCCTCTGATACAAGGAAAACAAACACAGACTATCCACTCCTTCTTCATAATCAAAATGCTCCAGCCCAAGGAACATCCTGGTAAGACTCCTCTCCAGTGCAACCACATCACTCCATTAATGCGGATTCCAGAGTCACATTCATTATTCTATTTTTGTCCAAAGTGAAATTTAATACACTTTCAGCATAAGCTGTCTGATCTTATACATCATGCTTTAGATAATAAAGGTAAGTATTGAATTTTCCTTCTTAACAACATTATTTAATTGTCCCTCTATTGTAAGGAACAGGTGGACATGCCCATCAAGCTCCCTCTGATACTGGTTGCTTCCCAGCATCCCACACTTATTCATATCGTACCTTCCCTTGCTTGTCGTGCTTAAGTAAGTCACCTTACACTTATATGGTTTGAAGTCCATTTACCAATGATTAGCCTATCTAACCATTTATATCCTTCTGTAATCTGAGGCAATTCTCCTCACTATTTAGCCACACAACAATTTACGTTTCATCTAGGACTGTACTGATCAGCCATCGTACATTCGTTCCTAAATCATTTGTGTATTTCGATGGTTTCCTGTTCAGTCATGCCCATCTAGCACAATATGGACATTTCAACTCAATACAAACATTTCTCCCTGAACTACATTAAATTTCATTTTCCAGCGTTCCTGAAGGTCACCATCTAAATTGGTCAAATGGCCATTATTGCCTCGAAGATTCACCATTAGTGCCCAAGTGTCTTATCTTCAGATTCTGCTCACCAGCACTATCCACACCACCCACTCCTGACACCTCATGGCTCATGTCATATCAGTGTCACTTTTTCCCATGCTAATCATCTCAATCCCACTCTTTTACACAAAATCCGTCTTTTCTGCATCAACTACGAACTTAATTTTGTTCTTGTCGTCTCCCATATACTGCACAAGTTCAGAACTCTCTCCTGAATCATTAAGACATCTACGGATTGAAGAAAGGTCCTTCAGAAACATCACTCTCATCAAGACTTTAACGTCTCCACATGCTGATCACACTTTAATAGACCTTTGTCAGTTTTACTTTTGGATTATAAACTTCTTTTAGCTTGCATCTTGCAAGGAAAAAAAAGTCTCATTTCCTCACACCTATCCACCTAACCCACGTCTGAGTTCACATCGGAGTTAAAGAATTGGTCTGAGTGACATTCAAGGAAAAGTCAAGCACGTTGTCGGCAGACAGATATTTGGATTGATATTTATGAGCATGTTGAAATGTGAAACTTCTTTTCACCTGAACAGAGGATGCCAACGCCACTGCTAACAGTGACAGACGAATTCAGCGGACTGGAGATCTTGCAGTCTCGGAGCTGCGATTCCTGTCCAAGACACTGGATACTATACACTCTCAGACACCTATCAATCTCCCCGTACTTTGAAAAGTTATACGTTTCTAAGGCATAACTGCATCCCAGCTGTCTGCACACAACGTCAGCACCATTCAGATCCCACAGGGTGTTCTGTGGGCTGCTCCAGCTTCCATTGTAGAGAATCTCAACACGGCCATCACAGTGGCTTTCCCCAATCACCAGTCTAGGCCACAAATTTTCATCTGCAACACAACATGTATTTAGAACAACGGCTAAACAGAATAGAGACATTCAAGAATCAACAATCAAAGGGTTGTACATCATTTTTCAAAGTATTTAATTATGACTTATCCGATATTTTTTCAGAGTTTCATCTTTGCTATCACCTTATTTTTGCAAATGTTTGAGAGAGGCGTGCGGCAATATGTGCTGTTAATATGGAGCCATGGCGAAATGAAATGATTTGTCAACAGCCCATGGTGGTTTTTGGAAAGTGGTCCAATGGAAATCAAAACAGGGTATTGCAATGTTTCAATCCATCATGCCAAATTGAATACTTTGTTACAGGCAACATTTGTGACGATTTTACTCAATACACACAATATCTTTGTTTTTGTCTTTTTCTTTTCTGACAGTGCAATCTCCAGATATGCTGCCAATATATCCGATCATTTCTCCCCAAACAGAATCACACCACCATAGTTTCACTAAAATCTGAGTGCATTCATTTCTCGTGCTCATGCCCCAACCTATGTTGACAAACTGTCTCCTCATTTGCACATTTCAATAAAACATATTAGATTTGAAAACACTTATCCATAACTAGTTTCAGTTAATTTAATGATGGTACTGTCAAACAAATATCCCCATCAAAATACAATGTTGCAGATATCCAAAGACATCATTTCCCGGTGATATCCTGCCCAAGTCGAAAAGGATTTCCCAATAGCCTACTTCTTGCCAGGCCAACTTTACTTGCACGTAGAAGATCAATAACATGTCTTTTAACATCTTTTCTCCACACTGCACAACAGTCAGTGCGATGATTACATGCTAATCAGCGATTTTAGAGCACAATTCTCAACAAGGGTCACTGGACTTGAAACGTTGACTCTGATTTCTCTCCACATCTGCTACCAGACCGGCTGAGTTTCTCCTGCAATATCTGTTCATATAAATTGATGGTCAATTTGGAAACAAACTCTTTCAATCTACAAGAAAGATCATCGGCATCATGGCATGAGTCATTGTAATGCATCACACGAGTTGCATCTGAAAATGGATTCTCCTTTTTCCTGCAGTGTTCCCATGACCGTAAATTTTCTGGTATTAATATTGAGTTCCACAGCATAATCGTTGTGATTATACATACTCTCGCTCCCCATCTGACTTCAAACGTGTTTGGTTATTATACTGGTTAAATTAATAGAGCTGTATAAATATGGGTCTCTTTCTAGGTTAAGAACTCAGATACCTGAGCATGAATTTTCTCCTTCAAGAATAAGTGAAAAATGAATAAGGGCATGGCTGAGAAGGAGTGTTCTGTACCCCATTTTAATGTCTGCCCCTCCACTCCTTACACATAAACCTGAACTCAATCATCTAATAAAAAGTTTCCTCTTGACTAAAATGAGAACTCATTCTGTACCTAATTCTCATGAGCGGAGTTACAAAATCTATCACATTCTGAGAAAAATAAAAACTGCTTACGCCTGTTCCAAAGTGAGTTTATGATGTCCAAACCTCTTGTGACATAGTAAAAAGATTTTTGAAACGTGAGAATTTCATTCAGTGTCATCACTGCTAACAGAAAGCATGTTTTTCTTTAAAAAAAAAATCCTCGTCCTAATGACATGTCGACATATTTAAAAAGTATTAATAATGCATGCAATTTCTACCGAGCCATTTGTGACTGTTCGGATACTCCCTCATAGGAGTTGAACATATGGGATACTCTCACTTTAGAGAGAGATGACCGGTCGTGATTTCACCAGATGATCTCGACTCGTCAGGTGAGGGGCGAGCTAAGAATGTTAGGACTTTCACGGCAACTTTAGATTGTGGGGCTAATGAACCAAGCTGTTGGAATCATTGTGCGGCACATCCCGCCGTTCAGACAACTGATCTAGCCGACCCCTTTAGAGATGTTGCAGTGCAGTGCGGCTACAATGGTAAAAGTTAATAATATTTACATTATGAAGATAATCTACTTAAACGTGGGCAACAAACGAGTTTATAATCTTTACATATTTGAGATATTTGCAATGTTCAAAGGCAGAGCATCTGGTGACCAATTCCAAAACAGTGTATCAGATGCTCGCTCTGATATGCAATCGTCCCAATTTCAATATTTATTCTCCACTTGTGCCCAGTCAGAATCTGGATTGTGTTTCCTTCTGCTTCGTGTTTGTTTTCTTTAATTATTTAACTTCAATCAATTAAATATTTTGGAAAACTATAAGTAAGTAAATTGTGCAAAATCGTCAGAAATCGATAAAGGAGGTTTCATTACAACTTGTTTATATATAGTAAAGAAAACAATTATAAGTTGGAGTTTGAGCCATTAGTAGAATGGAGCATGAAGATCCCCATCTTTTCATTAAGACGTAGGGTAACATTTCAAAATTAGCTCATGGCGCCAGACATCCATGTATTCAAACCATGAATTATGGCATTTAGCAACTTTAGTAGGCCATACAAAGGACTGCAGAACGCATAGACAATTGGCAAATGAAACTTAAAAAGAAGTGTCAGTGAGTATATTTTGGGAGCCTGGAAAATGACGAGCAACATTTTCACATTTTCACTTTTTGAATAAGTGCGCTTGGGCAAAAGGGCCTAGTGTTTCAAGAGCTGAGATGCTTGAAGTTGACAGAAAACCTGGCATAGTAATCAACAATGTACCTTAAACTTAAACTTGTAAATAATGATAATTAATGCAGAAGCAGAAACGTTAAGATTTTTATCTAGTTATGTTCTGGCCATTCCAAAAGCATTCTGTACAATGACATAATTCACGAAGTGTTTCTCGGTGCTTGAGGACCTAAAGATGAGCGATACTCAAATAGAAATACGAATAGGTTTCTATTTTTGACAAGGTTGTATTGAATTGGCTGTGGTTCGTCTTGAAACAATGCAGCTGGAGCAGATAGAGGTGTACGAGAATATGACTAGCTTGAACAAGGCAAGAAAGAAAACAGCTCCCTTTGACTCGTCGTCAAATGAATAAGGGGCAAAAATGTTACAGTTTGGGCAAGACGTGAGGTGCATATCAGAATGATAGTGAATCAGACAACTGGCAATGTAGATACTATTGTAAAGTATACATTGGTATTTAGGCAAGATAAATTCAAACAAATATGAAAGGTAAAGGAACCAAAAGGATCATCTTGGATGTCATGTCAGATACAGACTACGATTGAAGAACATATGACCCCCATGATGATACATGCCAGATGACGAGTTATTGTGAACTGGAATTGTTGCTGAAGAGTTTATTGGAAAGAGTGATTTTTAATAATTTCAAACAGTTTGGAAATTTTGTTCAAATATACAATCGTTGCAGGGAGTTTAACAAAAAATACTAATGGAGAGTCTTAAATTTAGTTGTCCAATGTTCATTTTAATGTATCAACATTGACCAGTGTGTAATACAATCGTGAATGATTTACTTTAATATAACCTGTGCAATCTAAACTTGAAGAAATCTCTTTTCAATGTAAATATAGAGATCTGGAAGTGTTTAATTTCCAATAATTGCAAGTATATTTCGCCACCTTGCAATTAGTGCATGACTACGTTAGAAACTATAAGGTTTAGTTTAGATTTGACACTGTCAGAGCAATGTCAGGAATGCCAGCGCCATAAATTTTGCAAGCACTAAAACGAAATGTGTCTTTATTTTTATTAAGTTTGTACTCACCAGAGCATATCATGGTGACATTGTTGTGTCCAGTGCAATCCTGGTGAGTGTCTGAAGACAGGGGGCACTTCTGCAACTGAGTCTCATTGCCTATACATTTAAAGACCTCATTGCCCATGAGTGCAGTACAGCCTCCAGAATGAGCAGAGCTTGAAATAGTTACGGCCACTCCACAGTCAAGCTGTGCACAGACCACATTGGCGTTTTTTCAAATCCCAGTGAAGACCACATACTGTTTTCAGGTGTCGCCGAACTGGACAGCAAGTCTGCCGATGCATTGGGAATTTCCAGGTACCAACCTCGGAACAACATGTTCTGAAAAGTAAAGCACTGAATCATAACAAATTACATCAACAATAACTCACATTATTTACTAATGAACATTCATCTGATTAATTAAAGACCTGGCACATTTGTGCGTGAAAAGTTCTATCAATCAGTGTGGATTTCGTTCCCTGTCGACCTCGTTTATGTTCACCCCCAGACCATCAGCTGGTCTGAGCGACAGAGACGTTCATCCTGCAGGTAAATGGCACAATGTCATTCTGTCAGCCAACACAATGTCGAATCTCGTTATTCATTGGGTTATATATGTGATAGTTCCAGTGGCATAGCTTTCTCGTTGTGGCTCAAGTGAAATCACAATGGACACCTGTCCTGCCTTTTTCACCAGACCATAAACAGTAACAGGTACTCACCTCTTCCATTACTTTAAAATATTCAAAACCTTACATAATGAGTCCCAAAAACTTGGTGATTCCAATTTTATAATGTTATTAATTATTGGACAGTTGACGTTCTGTTACCATATCACTTTCTGTTTTCATACAATACTGATATGACTACATAGAGACAGCAGTAAGTTTTCACCTGAACAGATGACACCAGCATCACTGTCGTGTGACCAGAAGAAATGGTCCCAACCCCCTGACTAACACTCCCTCAGGCCGTGCTCGGTCCCGCTGCACTCAACACCCCAGGTCACAATGGGTCCAGAACCCTGTCCAAAGTATGTCCCACCTGGGGCAGAGACCGCGGTCCCACAGTTCATCTCCCGACAAACAACAGTAGCATCTGGCAGATCCCAGCCTAAATCATTCACAGACCCCCAGGGTCCCATGTAGTGAATTTCCACTCGGCCAGCACAAGGACTGCCCCCGTTCTCAAGCCTCAATCTCGCTGTAAGATACAGAAATGGCAATCAATGTTAACAATGCATAAGCATGAAAGCTCCCACCACAGTCCACTTTCTCCATTCACAAGCAATGGGATTTAGAGGATGGAACGAACGCATTTCTCCACAATATAACCCAGAAAACGTATTATACATAGTGAAAGAGCCTTATTGACTTCCTCTTTTGTTTGCCTTTTTTTAATTTCAGCTTTCAATCATTCTGGAAATGTTAACTCTTCAACTGACTTTCCAATTGAACTTAAGTAGATCCCCACAATTCTGTCTTTAACGCTATTTTAGATTGTGATTCCCACAACCTCTACTACCACTGTGCGAACTGATTCTGCTCAATATCCATTTCAACATTTTAGCAATAAAGCCTCCAGTGGTTGACATCATGGCACCATGTGTTTGTATATTTGCGGCATATAAATGCAATTGAAAATTAATCAATCGTTACGGCCTGATAATTTGCATTTATAGGTGCAACGGGAGGCGGCAATACATTCAGTTGATCTTTTGATCTGCCATATTCCAACGTTTTGCAGATTCTGAGAAAATTAGTCAAATTGAGAGTAAAAATATGACCCAAATGTTGTAAAGTTGAGGAAAGGAGAAACAGGAATGTATAGATTGTAGAAATAAGTGTCGTATTAGAGTAATGCTCCTGTCAACTATAAATAATTTGCTAACAGGAAGGTTGAAAATTATCAACAGAGGTAAAGACAACATGGATTTATGGAAAGGGAGTCATGATTGTGAATTCTACAATTTTAGAGGCGTCAACTATTATATTAAATGTAGGAATACTGATCCACGTGATGTCAATTGATTTTAGAATGCATTTGATAAAATCCCACATAACAGTTTGATGTTCAAAATTAAAGCTCACACGAACTCAGGTAGTTTACTGACCAGTACTAGGAATTAATTCACAGACAGAGAATTAACATATTTTCAGTGAACAGTGGTGTTAAGTGGGGTACATGAGAAATCAGCTGTTAGGGCCGCAGCTATTCACAAGATAAATCAACGATTTTGGATAAGGGAATCAAGTGTGATATTGTCAGGTTTGCCGATGAACATCATGCAAAGAGGATACAAGGTCTTCTAGACAAGTTAAATCAGTGAGCAATGCATGAAAGGTGTATCTCATTCTAAATATTATATAGTTAGCGACATTGGAGGAAAGTAAGATAACAGAATATCATAATGTCATTTAAATATTTAAACTTTGGGAAGTCGTGAGGAACAAAGGGGTGGAGATGACCTTGTACACCAGTAACTGAAAGCACAAAAGCAGGTGCGAGATAGAAAGGCAAGTGACAAGTTGTTCTTCACTGAGAAATTTCTTCAGTACAACAGAAAGGTTTTATTTACAGCGCCTGTACAGGACGTTGCAGAGACCACAGGTGAAATATCGTGTTTGGAAGAATTTGAGAGTATCTAATTATGATCGGCCTGGACATATAGGTGCAGATTTGATGTTCCACCTGGCTTGGGATATCCCAAAAAATGATGATCACGGTCTTGGGGTGTGGGGTAGGTTGTTTCAGCCAGAGGTGACGAGAGCTTTCTTAACTCGGACGTTAGTGAGCCAGTAGTATTCTCAACCACATGGGGCTGACATTGAGTACATTCAATATGAGACGCATAGATTTTGCATCTCAAAAGCACGTCCATGAAAAATGTGGAAATTAAACGTAACAGGTAAAGTCCCAGAGGGTAATCGATCTGCTCTCTTATGAGAGAGAAAGACAGACAGATAAGCGAAAACTGATGGTTAATTTACAGAGGATCACCACGCTTCAGTCGAGGAGCGAGGTTGAAAAGGCAAAACTCTCAAAATAATGACAACAAGTATTTAAGAATGGTGATGACATATGTGTCATAGTGTCATACATACAGTTTGGAAACAGACCTTTCAGTCCAAAATGTCTATGTTGACCAACAAACACCAAATTGCACTAACCTGAATTTTGTCCATAGGCCACTATTCCCTAGCACTTTAAGCATCTATCCAGATGCTTCTTAAATGTTGTGAGAGCACTTGCTTCCATCACGATCTCAGGCAGTGCGTATTATATTTCTTCCATTCTGTCGGTCAAAACCAAGTTTCCTAGATCTCCTTTAAACCACATGCTCCTCATTTTTAATTTTTTCTAGCTGGTCATAGACATGTCAGCCATGACGAGAAGATTCTTACAACCTGTCCTGTCTATACCTCTCCTAATTTTCTATGCATCAATCAGATCCCCACTCAGTCTCCTCTGCTCAAGGAAAGCAAATCCTACCAACGCAATCTTACCTCATAACTGAGACTTTTCATCCCAGGTAAAATCATAATAGATTGCCTCTCCAGTACTGATAGTGTGGCGACTAGAACTGTACAGAATATTCCATCCGTCGCCTAAATGGTGTTTAATAAAGTAATATCAAGACTTATTTGCTCCTATGTTCTATGACACGTCTTGTGAAGTCAAACATTCCGTGTGCCTTCTTCGGCAAGCTGTCTACCTCTGCAGACACTTGCAGGAATGTAAGCACTATAAACCAAAGTCGCTTTGTTCCTCCATTTTCTTCAGGGACTTACCATTTATTGCATATATCCTTACTTCATTAGACCACCCAAAATGCATAACCAATCTCTTATCAGGATTAAATTCCATTTGCTATTGTTTTGCCCAAATTACCATCCGAACACTAATTTCCATGCCACCAATTTTCACTTAATCTAAAAACTTGCTAATTATACTTTCCACATTCATATCCAAGTGGTAAATAAATGACAGACAGCAAGATTCCAGCAACGATGTCTGTGGGAGATGACTAGTCATAAATTCCAATCATAAAAATAGCATCCACCATCACTCTTGCCTCCAATTGTCTCGCGAATTTTGAATCTAGTTTCCACCTTACTTTAGATCCCATGGGCTGTTCCCTTTTAGGCCAGCTTTCTCCGTGGGACTTTCTCAAAGGCCTTACTGACGTCCATATAAACCACATCAACTGCACTACTCTCGTAAACATAGTTAATTACCTTTCCAAAATGAATCAATTAAATGAATCAGACAAGATCTCTCTAACAAGTCACTGCCGACGATCCCTGATCAATAGGTCCATTTGTAAGTGTTGATTCATCCTGTCCTTCAAAATTGTTTTCCAATAATTTCCCTTCCCCTGGCCTCAGACTAACCTGTCTGATATTACCTCGCCTATCCCTGCGGCCTTTATCATAGAACAACGTTAGCTATCCTCCAGTTATCTGACACATCACCTCGGGCCAGCAAAGTGCTCACTATATCCACCAGGACCCTGATAATCTCTCCTGTTCCTTTATACAGTGTTGTGGGATAAGTATCATCAGATTCTAGGATTTATGCACTTTTATACCTGCCAAGCATCAAATAACGCTTCCTTATTAATCTCAACATGGTCTGGAACCTCATCACTGCAACTGAAATCCTAAGCCAAAATTTCTTTCCCATTTCTCAATGCTGCTAAGATGTATTCCATTAACAACTCATCCACGTTCTCTGGTTAGACGCACAGATTGTTCCTTTAGTCTCTAATAGGCCACACTCTCTACCTCTTCCTCATAACATTCTAATAAAATGCCAGGGATGGTGGGTGAGTATCAGTTCCTTAATCATATTTGCCAAGATTATCCTTTTACCTGCTAATTTCTTTTTTAACAACCCCTCTACATTCCTTATAGTTTTTAAGGCCTCCCCTGTTTTATTCTTCATATGCTGCACCTGAAGTATCGTTCTGTCTTTTTCTTTATCAAAATCTGGATAGTTTTTGACATCCAGGGGTCCCTGGACTTGTATGTCTTGCGCTGCACTATTGGAGAAACATGCTGGCCATGAATTCTCATTGTGCTACTTTTTAAAAAAAATCTCCCACTTTGCAAAAGTAGAGTTACCTACAAATAGTTGTTCCAGGTCTATGTTTGCCAAATCCTGGGTAATGCTATTGAAATCATTCTTACCTCAATGTCTACATTTAAATTTATGCACTATACCTAATCCTATCCACAATGACTTCGAAAATCATAGATTTATGATCGCTATCACCAAATGATCGCCCACAGACATGTCGACAACTTCAGCAGCTTCATTTCCTCATGTTAGGGCGAATAGTGCCCATCTCCGGTACAATCATCTTCATACTGGCACAAAATGATCTCCTGGACACACTCAAAAATTCCAATCCTTTTTCGTGTCTAATCCTTTCACATTGAGGTGATCCCAGTCAACATAAACAAAGTTGAAACACCTTGTCAGTGTAAACCCATTCCTCTAACATACTGAATGATTATGCTGTATCGTCGGACCAAATAGCCTAACCCGGCTCCTACTTTGTTTTGGTCTACGTAAATTCTATATGCAGTAAGAACTTAACATGCTCCATCAACTTTCCAGTGGATACCATTTCCTTGTAAACTGCTCATTGCAAAGCAATTGGACATACAATCTCAATAGTTTGTTCATTCAATTTCTTGCTGTGATTTAGAATTCTTCAGCTTAACCAGCGTGTTTAATCTACCCTAATTGATCGTGCACTGAATGGTTTGCTTAGCAAATTGAGAGATCAGCTACAATTCAAGTGCTGTACATTGTTCCAGTTCTAGATTTAGAAATGTGCATGACTTACTTGGAATGGCAGATTTCCTTCCCTCAGTAAAGTGAGTGAACCAGACTGATTGTTGCAACAATTGATTCATGGTTAGATACTAAAGCTTGTTTTAATTAATTGATTTGAAATTCCACCGTCTGCCATGCGTGGTTAGTAATTCAGTTGAGGTTGATTGGCTCGCCGAGCTGTTTTGTTGTTCCGCAGACGTTTCGTTTCCATGCTGGTTAACATCCTCAGTGCAGCCTCTGATGAAGCGTCGGTGTGTTTTCCCGCCTGGTTTTTAAACTCTGGGGTCCGTTGCGATGGATTGCCTAACTTCCGGGTTTCCTCCGTCGTGGAATGTATATGGGGTCGAGTTCAATGT